GTGCTGACCATCACAATCCCATGCGTGTTGGAGCCTGGGTACCTGAAGGACATCAGGACATCTTCACACAGCCTTCTTCTGTGTTGTGGTCAGCAAGTTTATAACTTTCATCTTGGTGTCTCTGCCTTTGGTGGTGAAGCAACTTACAACAGGCTTTGTCAGTGGTTGATCCGTCTGGAATTCCCTTCCAGGGAGTAGATGCTAGTCTGGCATCTGCTTGGGTATGTTGACAGCACCAGGGAAATTCACCCATTTATTATTTCAGGCATTCTAAGTTCCTAATTGTAATTTATTTTAAACGTCCCTTATTTGCTGCTCTTATCATTTGTTGTTGTGATTTATTGCTTGTTGCGACTTGCCTTAAGAGTCACTTGGTTGAATGGCAATATATGAATTCATAAAGGAATTGGTAAAATAAAAAGGAACTGGTTCTGCTGTACCCATGCCAAGGAATTGAAGAAAGAGATTACATACTTGGGCTTCTACATGAGTGGCAGCATAGTCCAGTTAGCCATCTGTAACAATCTGGACAAGCCAACTAGAACCAGTGCAGATCTATGATGTCAGTTTGCTTACTCATGTGGAAACAACCATGCTGAAACCTTGTGTCATATGAATCTCTCCCTCTTCCCACTTCCTTTTGGTGCATGAACTCTGCCTTGCCAGGGGTTCACCATAGTTCAGGCTCAAGAGCAATGTTATTAAGCAAGGATCTTAAACCAACCTCACACCATGGGTCTGGTTCCTCACTAGTGCAAAATCTGTGGTTAGTTTACCCATGATTACAGCCAGTTGATGGACTCTGGGGAGGAGAATATGAAAGTGTGATACAATAAGCTTCTTACTGCTTAAATATAATTAATCAGCAGGGCTGTGAGAAACAAGAAGTTATGATAACATTGGAATAACTAAAAGGAAATCAACAGTAGTAGCTAATCAAGAAGCTAATCAGTGTTTAGCTTAAACACTGATATATAAATACAAAAGAATTTGGCAGAGTCACGTGCCACACTTGTTTGGTTGTCGCTGACCCTGCAGTAGAGAACACGTGGATTATAATATAGTCACTCTGGCTGGGGATGCGGAAAGCTGATCTTTTGTGACTGCACAGACAAGCCAGGGAGCCTCACATGAAGTTATTTTAAAATCCTTTTTTTGTTATGACAGCATTTTTTGTAAATTTTGACTTGCTGTTCACACCTGCAGTTTCCCGTTAGATCACAATGTGGAAGGCAAGGGTAATACTTCCTTTTGGAATTCTATTCAGGTTTTTTGTCATCTTGACAAACTGTTCAGGAAGGAAGGTGGATGTTGGTGGGACTGGCCCAGCAACTTTACTTTGCCACCCAAACCCACAACTTCTGTGGGGTGAATGAGGAGCCTCACAACTGCCTGAACATAATTTAACTGCCCCACCTTTTGACTTTCTGTGGACTGTTCTGCAACCTTGTAACTCCTGATTATACCTGCCAGTGATGAGGAAAGATTAGCTTATTTTAAACTACTTGTCTTATTTGTTGGTCTTACTATTGGTTGTTATGATTTATTGTTTGCTGTGACTTGCTTGGGGGCCAGGTGGTTGAATGGCAGTATAGGAATTCATGAAACAGCTATGAGACCAGTAATAACAGGAAATATTCTGGAGGTCCTGATACCAACAGATCAATCCTTGACAGGGTACCTCATTCTTTCCTAGGTGTGAACTTGTGTGCCCCTAGCCACATGCCCTACTTGTTGGAATAGTTTAATAATCTCTGCTTATTCATAAAGATTTGACCTCTTCTTTTGAGACCTGACTTCCAGTGCCCAACCATATGAATTAAATAAAACAAAGCTTTAAAGGGAGAAAGTGGTCTGTGTTCTTCTAACTTCCTGTGTTTATACGGTCTGGGTGAGTGGTGTTCAAGTTGATGTCCAGCTGCTTCCTCTGCAAAATTGAAAGGCAGATTAAAGCTTTAGAGTCACTGTGGGCTCAAAGGAAAAACGGATACACCAACACTAGCCCAGAAGTCCTTACAAAATGCATCAGGTATAATATGAACCAGTTTTCATGTGCCTATACGCTAATTTTTTGAATTCTTTGTTAGAGGAAAAAATGCCTTCCTGTTGAGGAGGTTGTCATTTTAAAGATGCCTTTAAATCATGTTAGTTTGATTTTTCTAATTGTGAAACATAAAGTCTTGTTTTTCAAGGCTTTGAAGAGTTCTGGTCAAAGATGAGAAAATTTGATTTTAAGAAAACAAGGCCAAGTTTTCCATGTTCCACATACTGAAGTTTAATTTGTATTGAGGTTTGTGCCTCTTAAAGCTATACGTAAGAGCTCAGCTTATTAAAATCATTGAACTGCCAGGGGCTGTTTAGGCAATTGAGTCCATCCCTTGTTCAACAAAGGAATCCAGTTTAAAGCACTGGCGACAGATGGCTGTCTAGTCTCTGTTTGAATACTTGTAATGACAGAACTCCCTTTGTAGTAGGTTCCATTATCTGTCTGTCCTGACTGTAAGGACATTTTCCTGAGGTGCAACCAAAACTGCCTTCCTGTAGCTTTAGCGTGTTGTTGTTCTTCTACAGTTCACAACCTGTCTAGTGCAGGGGTTCCCAGTGCAGTGTTTGCAGGCACCATGATACCTGTGGGCACCTTTGGTGGCACCCACAAAGGGGTTCCTGCATGAGTTTCTAAAGTGGCCAATGTTAATGCATGTGGCTGGATTTGTTTGAAATGTGTTCATCTTTCTAGTAATTAGATATATGCACCCATATGCCACCCATTCATATATCAGAACCATCGGGGGATCTTCAGTCGATTGTGTTTAGGAGTTAGGTGCTTAGTCTCAGTTTTGTCATATCCGTCTTTTAACTATCAGGAGCATGCAGAGAATCTGTTTGCACTGACCATAAATTTCTGTGAAGCAGATAAATAATTTAAAAGAGTGTGCATATCACTGAAGATTAAGTACAGTTTCAGTTCAAAATGTATATGCATAATAGCCTTCTCCTAAAAAAGAAGCCACTATTGGTCATTGCTAAAACATAAATTTAGAAGAAGCATTAGTTGTACTACATAGCAGTTTTTCAAATTCCCAACTGTGACAAAATGTTGGGAAGCCCTGGTTTAATGAGCTGAAGCCCTACTCATGGCTAACAGGATGATGACATACTGACAGAAAAGGTCAAAGATTATTTTATTATTTCCCACACCATTAAAAAGAACCCTAATTCCTAGATTTCTGTTAATGGCCACATCTGCAACTCAGGCAAAAAGGAATGGAGAGGGAGGCAATTTTTAAAAATTTATTTCCTTCATTCTGGCCTTCAAATTGTGAATCTGATATACAGCTGAATTATAAATGTTTCTTTTGCCTTTTCGAAAACAAGGAATAAGTTGCTGCCTCACATCCTTAGCAAATAATGTCCTTGGTGAGTAGAATTGACACCCCTTACATCACCCTTCTTCAAAATGTAGATGAAAGTATAGTTTCCTTCCCTGGAGGCAGCAAGATTGATCGGGAGCATCTGTTTCACCTAGATCTTCCATTGATCTCCTTATCTGGACATTTACTGAACGCTTATTCAAAAGAATACCTTGGTTGGGCACCCAAAGAGATGCCTTTATCATTTATTATAGCTGAGCCATCTCCGTCTGCAAGATATAGAGGGCTGCGTGTGCGTAGCTTTTAGTGACAAAGTGCATTTTCTGGCAGCTTCAAACAGCACGAGGGGCTTCAGAATAAACTTGCAAGGTTTCTTGCTCACCTAAGTAGGACTTGTGGCTGAATCCCTGCTGGTGGAATCTGCCTGAAGTTAATAGAGCAAAATGGGTGTCAGTGAAGCACATGACATCGCGGCAATCAAATTTCCATCTGACCCTTTTTTCACATACTGTAATTGCTGTTTCTTTGCTTTTATGCACCGCTGTGACTTGATTCCTCTCCCACACCTTCCACCTCTTTTTGTGGTTCTTTTATGTCTTCAAAATATTTCCTGGCAGCCGGAGGATTTCTCTCTGAGGGTAGTTCCTGTGCCAACATAGATGGCAGTGGCTCGGCATCTCTGTAAGATACAGAACTACACATACTGCTGTTCAGGAGAGATCTAAATTTATATTCACAGTTACTTTGCTATAGAGTTATTTTGATGGATGTGAGAGAAAAATAAATCGCTTTTGAACTGGAACTGTATTGTACATTACAACTATGTCAAGCTATGATCCTCTTTCTCTCCCTTCTTCCCCTCTTTCAGGGTAGGATCTGTAACAAACAAAAAGTTTAGCTCCTTCACGTTATATTTATTATTTAGATAATACCATTTATACAGCATTTATATAATATGTCTTCAACTTTACAGAGCAACAGTAAGACAACAGTGCCCTGCCTGGAGGACCCTATATTCAATACAGGGAGGCAGTAGTGGGAAGGGAGGATAAGAGGGGAAGAATAAGTATATGATCACTCCTGAAAATGTGGAGAAATTGCCGAATGATGAGCAGGGGGAAAGACACGCTCACAGTTAGCAGAAGTCTTGTAAATTCAGTTCCCCCTGTTTCTTGTGGAACGTATACATGCAAAATGCATTAGTGCTAAACATTTGTTTTGTCTTTCTTCATTCATTCATTTCGGTTAGCAGGATCAGATTGTTTGCAGGGTTGCTGCCTTGCTTACAATTCCAATGGACTCGGTTTAAATGCAGCCTAGAGTTAACAGTCATCTGTGGATTTGTACACAGCAATCTCTTAATTGGAAGAAACCCCAAGCACTGATGTCACAGCAATTTCAGTGAGGCCTTGTTTGGGAACGTCACTCCAGCCTCACTGAAATGAATTGAAATTGTGCAACCTGAAGGCTGAACCCTAATGCCACACCCTTAAGCAGATACCCAGCTGAATAAACCTGGAATTGGTGTGCATTACTTTGGAGCAGACGTTGAGCTCAGAGTATAAATCTGCCTGCTCGACTACGAAAAGACACATGATGGTAAAAGTAATGTGGGATTTGCGCCTGCAGTTATTGGAGCAGCGATGGAGAACCCAGTGGGCAGCTCATCTCCCCCTGCACATTTTCCAGAAGGAGACGGATCCAAGGAGAACAGCGATGTCCCAGCTGGGTAAGCAACTGTGCTTCTGATCACACGTCATGGATATTCGATCCTCTGCAGGGTCTCCAGTTACACACAATAAAATGCACCGTATTAAAACATTAAAAATGTCGCCATCCAAAGCATCCACTTAAGATAGGCTCTCTTTGCCCTGGTTTAGCCTTCCAGCTTTTAAACCTACCTCCATCTTAAGTGACTTGTAACCATTTCTTGCTTCTTGTTTGGGAAAAAAAATGGCTTTCCGCTGGAATATTAAAGAAGAGGCTTTCATATAAAATGCTAATTTTTAAATTTGCAGTGTTGGTTGCATACATTTTAGGGTGGGTTTAGAGAACCAGCATTCAAAAATGCCGAAGTGAGTAACTTTCTTCTAGATAAAACTATGCAAGTCCCCAAAAACTTGGGCACATGGTAAGAATCTACCTGAGGGGAGAGTTTAGAGTAATGGCCACTGCAGAGTCTTAGCTGTTTTGATCTTCAAGAGAGCAAGGTTGTATATTTCAGGCTAGGTAGAAGGACTGTTTTGGCACTGGCGGCTGGATGAACAAATTCCTTTTTCTTGTATGGTTTTTAAAACCACCCAAGCAGATAAACAGGGTTTCTGTGCTTTAGCCTGGGTGATCTCCCACCCTCTAGGGGCATGGCAGCAGCTTTCTTATAAAGTCTCCCAGGTATGGGACAACTTATTAGGTAGAATAAGGTAGAATGAAAAGCAAAATAATAAGAACAAGGTAGAAATTTATTGGTTGATGGCAAAACACTGTCTCCTGCCCCAAGCCCCAATACTATGTGTGTACCAGGCCTGCCTGATTTCAGTGACGGAGGATTCTGTGCCTGACTTTTCTGAGTGTAAAGGAGCTTGAGTCTCATGCATTCATTTTTGTACGGCTGCTCTGTTTTCCCTGGGACTCTAAAAAGATCCAGGAACTCGGTGGCCAGCATAGAGGAATGACAGTGGCAGAGGCGACTCGCATGTATGCATGTCCACTACCTTACTGCTACATTTGGTACTCACAACATCACTTTAACATATCAGGGGTAAAATAGGAAGTGCTGCGCCCTGATTGCTGGGGTCTCCTTGCATGGTAACCGATTTTCCCTCCAGGCTAAATCACATGGAAGGATCGTGCAGCGGTAGCACCTCCCAGTCTGCCAGCAATCCAGATTTTGCAGAGGACTTGCTGCAAACTCCAGCGCTACGAAATGAGTCATCTAATAAAGCTGAAAATAGCGAAGCAAGACCTGAGGAGGAGGTGAGCCAAAATTATAGGAGGAAAACTAAGGTTTCCGCCTCCACCTGAATTATCTACCCATTCATATCTCTTTTCCCCAATGGAGAGTTAACTATTTGGGATTTAATTAACATTTGTCCTTTTTCTCTGAATCAGTAAATGGATGACACCTGCATCTAGCAGTGTCTAATGTTGTCGTCATCCTTCAGAGATTAAGTGAATTACAGATTTTGGCCGGTGAGAGGCCATCTCTTGGCATAGTATTATACAATTGCCTTGTGATTTGTTCCTTTTCCATAAAAAGCATTTAGTCTGAGCCTCTGTTGGAGGTAAGAAAGCAAGCAAATGAGCTGGCATTCAGGTCCATTTTTTTCATAGCTTACTTTCCTGTAATAAATACTTTCTTCTCTATAACTTGAGGATATCAAACCTTTCACTTGGTAGTTCAAAACTTTTAATCCTTTCCATAGACAATGATACATTTCTGTAATGTTTGTTACCTTTATTCAAAACCCTGCACTACCTCTTCATGGCAACATCGATCATTTTGAAGGTATTTTGGGAGCTGATGATCCCAGCATCCTCTGTTTTATCTTTTCCCTAACTCTTCATAAGACTTGAAAATGTAGGGAGAGATAATATAGTCGCAACATTTTAAAAATGATATTACTTAACATGCTTGTGAAATGTCTGTTTTTGGTCATTCACCAGTGAATTCCTCTTACCCTGCAGGGCAGTAATTACGTACACCATTACTTGCCTAACCCACCTTTCTCTCTGATGTGTCGACTAGTGCACAACACATTCTAGTTACTAAGCTGAAACAGACTTGGAAAGTTAAGAGTAGCAGGGAAGTGTACCTACTAAAGTAATCTGTGCAAGCATTTCCAGTGCTAGCTAGCAAGCAACTGATGTCTTGCTCTGAACTTTCTGCTCTCTTGCAGCAAAGAACAAAGAGAGGAGGCTGGTCCAAGGGGCGGAAAAGGAAGAAACCCTTAAGGGATAGCAATGCACCTAAATCTCCCCTAACAGGTTATGTGCGGTTTATGAATGAACGAAGGGAGCAGCTTCGAGCGAAGAGGCCTGAAGTTCCATTTCCAGAAATCACCAGGATGCTAGGGAATGAATGGAGTAAACTGCCCCCGGAAGAAAAGCGGGTACCACTGCGTTACCTTTCCTTGTTAAAGAATTGGATCTTTACAGAGGTTTTTGCTTTACTGTGTGGACGTCACACATCCTGATCATGCCAACCTTGGGAAAATTCATAATTTTCTGCCTATAATTACTATGAAGCTTGTCTAGGTAGCCAAAGAATGAGAGGGTCTTAAGAAACGTGTGCTCACTTTAGGTAGTCTGGGCCTAAATTTTATCTCTAATATGACCTAGCTCTATTGGGCATGAGTTTATCTCTTCCCATAATGAGTCTGAAGAAATGGCATGCCAGATTGCTAATAGATAGAATTACTTCATGCTGCAGATTCATCAGTGTAGCTGGTGTCTTGGAAAAGACAGATATGCCTGAAGGAACAGGATGCAGATTGAAAACGTGGATGCTGTAGACAATTTATCATTCCACTGAGAAACACTCCTAGTGATGTAGAGAAGCTTAACTCTCCGGGGTTTGGATGGGGAGGCTTGCTGCATTAGTCTATTTTTAATCAAAAAAATTATCCAAGGATGAGGTTTGTGAGCGAGAGGCTGCCAGCTCACTGTCTTCCATACATTATTTATTTTCCACCCCATTCTCCCCCATGGGCTTAGCTCAGCAGCTGTTTTTCTAACAGTGCAATCCTGGACATTTCTATTTAGAAGAAAGCCTCGCTGGATTCAGTAGGGCTTACTTCCAGGTAACTGGATATAAGATTGCCAGCCTTCTGTTAGCTGTCCTGTCCACCAGCAGACTCACAAGCAGAGGAAATTCAATGCTTTAGAGGATAAAGGAGACCAAATGAAAATAACATTCTAAACATGCTGCATATCATTTTTTTTAAACAAAACGCTCTGTTCCACTCGATCAATAACTAGTTGAGCAGCATCAGACAGACAGTGCTTCTCGGGGATAGTCAGCTCCTGTCTGCACGGGAGGTAGATGGACTTCACTTCCAGTGTGCCTCGTCCTGCTCCCTGTGGTTCGAGTAGAGTCTGAGTCACTCGGAGGTGAGATAATATCTGGGAGCAGATGTTCTGTGCACCCAGTGGAAGACACGGTGATCGGGCCTCTCATGAGAACAGTGGGGGCCCCCAGCTCACAAGGCAAGTTCCGACCTTGAGCACCCCTCCTGAGAGCAGCAGTGCAGAGGGTGCTCTGCAGAGTGGGAAATTAGAGTCCCGCTTCATACGAGCAAGCTGCCCTGAACACCGTGCTTCTTCCTTGCCATGAATAGTGCTGCCCTGCTGGAAACAGAATGATCCCGAGGCGCAAAGGTGAAAATAGCTGGCCGCTGACCTGATTGGTCAATATAAGCATAGTCCTGCAAGCTCAGTCCTGCAGTGGCCACCAGATGCCCGTGGGAAGCCCACAAGAAGTATATCATCATTGCATTGCATTTACACCCTGCCTTTCTTCCTCTCGCGAGGGACCCAAGGTGGGCTCACGAGGTTCTGTTCCTCTCCATGTTATCCTGACAGTGACCCACAGGCAGATGGGGCTGAGAGTCACCCACCGCGCTTCATGGCCACGTGGGGACTAGAACCCAGATTCCAGCCTCCCAGTCCAGCACTGGCTCACCGACAGGAGCACAATAACCTCCTCTTGGTGTTTCCCAGCAAGTGGCATTGAAAGGCACGGTGCTTCTGTACCTTGAAGCAACCAATAGCTGCATTGACTAGTGGCCCCCTTTGGAGGCTTCTCCTCGTGTTTCTGTGCAATCCTCTTCTGAAGCCATTTCAGTTGGTGGCTGCCACATCCTGGCGCATGAAATAACTATACACTGTGAAGAACTTATTTCATCTGTCCTGAATCTCTCACCCTTCCGTTTGAAGGGATGATGAGAGAGGGAGGCAATCATTCTGCCCGCTTTCTCTGCACTGAACAGAATCCCGCACAGCTCTGTCATGCCATTAATGAACCCTTCCCTAAACTAAAAGCACCCCAAGGTAACTTTTTATTGGGGGCAAGTTGCTTCCGCCCCTCGTTCAGTTCTGTGCCTCTTTTGCAGCTCTATAGAATCCTTTTTGAATTGCAGCATCCAGGATGGGCTCAGCTGCTCCCAATGGGGTTGTGCTATATCAGTGTATGAAGCACTGTCACACTGGCTGTTTTGTTCTCCATTCTCCTGATCATCTCTAGCGGGGCGTGTGCCTTTGTCCCAGATGGAAGCTCTCCCTCAGCTTTCCTGCTCCTTCATTACTAGCTCAGGGGCCCCATCCGTGCACCTGTGAGGTTAGGACTGCCCGCCCTAGTACGCATCACTTCACATTTAGACTTGAACCCTTTTTGCCCATTCGGCCTCTCTGGAGGGACCTAGTCTTCTGAATGTGGCTACACCATGGGTTAGCAGGTGTCTTCCGTCCACAGGTGCAGTGAAACCCGGAATGTGCGGAGGGGCTGCTCTAAGTGCATCTCCCGCTGCCCACGGGCCAGCACAGGCCAGAGCCAGTGCTGCAGCTCATCTTGAGAGCCTCCAGAACGCTCTGCACACAGATGAAAGAGGAAGGGCTTGGATGCCCTGTTCGGCTCTGCCTTCCAGAATAAGTGCCCTGTCACACACGTTACCCATTCTCCGCCAGTGGCTAGATAAGGATATAAACTTGGATAAGATGAAGGGCCTGAAGCCGTTTTAAAGGGAATAGAATGTAAAAGCGGGGAAGAGAAACTTGTTATAAGAAAGAGCTCCATCATCTCCATGCGAGCTCATGTGCACTATTTAAGTCCTCTGCACGTTGACAGCTCTCTTTGAAGTCTTCTGCAGCCAGGCCTGTTCATTAAGCAAATGTGACAGAATGCTCCAGGCAACGTTTGATATGATTTCTTTAGAACTATATTCAAACACATTGCCGTTATGAAAGCTAAAATTCTAGGTTTGATTCATCTAATACAGAGACAAGGGGATGTGATTTTATATGTGCAATTAAACTTGAGCTAAAATATTTCCCCTCCATTTATAGCTAACCTTTATTGCAAGAGTGGGTAACTGTACTGAAAAATCAAAATACAATCAGGGACTCATTGAAACATAACTATGCATACTTGGTTTAGTTTATGCTGCCTTGGTCCTGGCAGGTAGATGTCAGTTCAGATAAAATATTTTTAACCTTTCAGATTTTTAACCCTGTATCCAGATGCTGGGAGTTGCAGTGCTGATGAATGTGCAGCAAGATGCTTCTCTGTGTGTCCTTGGTTTTGGCGTAAGGGCCCTTGTCTGACCTTAAAGAGTGTATGGGACACACACACACACACACACACACACAGAAGGTGGCTGCATTCCAGCCTCAATTTCTGCCTTGTCCTTACTGTCTGATTAGCCAAATGTTGTGACAGGAATTCATCTGCCTGATTAATGTGCTTATACGCTGAGGAGAGAAGAATGATTTGTTCTCTGGTTGCAGCGCTACCTTGATGAAGCTGATCGAGATAAGGAGCGTTACATGAGAGAGCTGGAGCAGTACCAGAAGACGGAGGCGTACAAAGTCTTCAGTAGGAAAGCACAGGACAGACAGAAAGGCAAATCACATCGACAAGGTATTGAGCCGCATTGTAGGAATTCTGAAAAGAAGGTGCCAGAAGCCTTGATTGCTCCCGTTTGTGCTCATTCTGCATGTATTAAATAATTTACAGCAAGTGGGAGATGGGACGTGCGAAGAAACCAGACACACACCGTAGCTAGATGGCACAGGCTGCCTACTTCTAGGGGAAGAATTTATTTCCTACAGTCGAGTCTTAGTGTGGCGTACTAGCCTGATCCAGACCTGCAAAAACTACTAGCTTCTCTCTGCTTCCAAGAAACCTCCAGTTTCTTCTAGAATCTTTCTTTGTTCCAGCTACAACCCACAGTGGAAGAGCTGCAGGGACACCATTCCCCCCCACTAGTTTTTTAGAAGCAGAATTGGGGTAATTTCATGGAGAAGTGGGGCGATGGTGGAGGACTTCATGCAGCCTGTGGGCCACATTTTGCCCGCCCTGATAAAGGTCTTCATACTGTACACTCTCTGCCAGTCACAATGAAGGTCACTTTGCTCATTAAAATTAAATTGCTGTCCTCAGATGAATTTGGGAAAGATGAATTTATGGAATGTATCTGGCCTTTTCTTGGCAAATTATTATTTTTTCCTTGAAAATGTTTTTTGTTTCTCCTCCAATCTGTTTCAGAAGGAGCACGGCAGGCTGCCCATGACCATGAGGTAAAAACGTCGCTCGCTCTTGCGTATGCTGGGTTGACTTTATTTTTTATTGGCGGTTGAGGTTGAGGCAGAGTGTATCTCTTGGAAGGGGTGCTTCCACGCATGTGTGAGAACTTGTGAAGTGTCGTTTTGTAGGCACATGCACAAGTTGAGGGGCTAGTCCCTGTGTTTCCTCAACGGGCCAGCGTCTTAACTTACAATTACACTAAGTAACCGTCCTTAAAAGGGGATTACATGAGCAGGGTGTAGTTCCTGCAGTTCTTATCAAGTAACGGAAAGGAAAATTCTCTCTCTCAGAATTCAGAATTTCACGTCTGCCTGAGTCCAGAGTTAGGGCTTCTTAACCCCTGGTGGTTTTACTCGATAAGGATTATTCGGATGCCTTTCAGTTGTGATTTCTGCCCTGCTTTTGGGGCAGAAATGGCTCCCCACTTTCTGGATGGGGGGACTCAGAAGCTGGTGCCGAAGGACTCTTGTTCCACCCCTTGACCTTTGACGTGTAAGGTGGCTTAGGGTTCCATCTCATTTTTAACATCTGCATCTGGCCGTGTCTCATCAGTCTGTGAATGACCTACTGGGATAGGACCCGGTGGCTCAGGGCCAGGGCTCACATTGCACATGTCCCGGGCTCACTTCCAGGCATCTCTGGCAGGGCCCGGAAGAATGTTTCTGGAACCACTAGTGGGCCTGATGGACCACTGGCCTGGCTCCATACAAGGCAGCTTCTTACCGGTCATTCCGATGACACACAGCAATACCTCACATTGGAGAAACTTGCGACAAAACCAGGGTAGATGTAGCTAAGTCGTAGTGTCTTGCCTTGCTCGTCTCCCATCCCCTCTTTCTGCCTGTTCCAGCTCTGCTGATACATTTGGCTCTGGAAGAATTCCTGGATCCTCAAAACGAGGTCTTGTTCTAAAATCTCAGTGAAATCTTTTCTGCACTGACATTTGGTAGAAACGTCCCTCTATCTTATTCTAAGGACAAAGAAAGAAGCAATAGGTTTTGTGTTTCTCTTCTAATTTTGATAAGTGGCACAGTGACATTAAGCCTGAGCAACTGAGTGCTGTGCAGTGAAGTGGTAATCAAAACCTTGTGATTTTAATCCCACGAGGTGAGCCTCAGAGTGGCTTACATGGGAGTCCCCGAGAGGATCCCCTACATGCCGGGGTAATGCGCTTAATAATGGAAGAGAGCCGATGGTTTTCATTACTGCTCTTCCGTTAAGCTGAATTCTCTGCCTTTTAGAGCCTGAGCAATGTAATTTAATTGCTTAACGACTTGGGAGTGGGGGTGTTATATTTGGAGACTCTACCCCGGGGACAGCAGTTGCAACGCCTGTCGTGTCGTCTTCCCCCAGCCCTCAGTCTGAAGGAGCAATTCATTGTTCATTCTGGGGTTTAGCACCATTTTCCCTTGGGATCTACTCAGCATTAGCTTAGATTATGTTGCTGTTTTAGGCAGCAAACATTCATTTTGCTGCCTCATTCTAGTTATCTTGTACGCAAGGTGCTAAGGGATTAATGCTTTTTTTTTTAATGTCCCTTTACTATGGATCTGTTTATTGGATTGTTCTTTATGCAGAAATATAATGGGTAGTGAGTGTACTTCGGTATACTTATATTTTATGTAGTTTTTGTCTGCTTTTGTAATATATCCACAGAAGCAGGATAGGAAAAGTGACTATATTTATTTATTTATTTGGAACGTTTATATGCTGCCCCATTCGCAAAAAGCCTCGGCCTATATGGCTCCTTCCCAGCAAGTTTCCTCTCCTTAGGTCCATGCTTGCATGGAGCAAGGAGAATGAGCTATATCTGGAGGAGAATGTTGGGGTGCTCAGGTTTGCCCCCCTCTCCATACCCACTGATGGCCATGCAGATGAGCCTCTTGAGTGTGCTGAGCGTAAGACGCCACGATGTACGGAGTCAAAGCAACAGTTGTTCTAGCCTAGGCTGTCCTGCTGGCGGTGGCACTCCAGTGCTTCAGGCAGAAGTCTTTCTCTGCCTGAGATTATTTAATTGGAGATTCCAGGAATTGAACCGTTCATGGAGGAGCCTGTGTTCCGCCACTCAGTTAAGACTCAACCCCGCTGGCAGCCGTGTGTGCTGCTGTTGGGTTGTGCCAGCCTCAGAGATGAGTGAAGAGGCAGGAGTTCTCACGGAAACAAACATGTGATTACTGGAGGCCTCTTTAAAGAGCTGCCTGCCATGTACATTTGGCATAGTTTGAAAAATGTAGCTTTTAAAAATATTATTCATTGGAGAAACATTGGTATTTAACAGTTGATGGGTGTAATGCATGAAATAATTTTAACTTGTAGATACAGGATTTTTTTTTTCTTTACCCCATATGGCTACCTTGAGGAACTTGCGTTTGTCTTTATTAGAAGATGCAGCAGCTGTCTTAGAGTTTTCTCCAGCAAACACATGAAGAGCTTTCTGAAATTTCACAGGGCTGTTGTCTCTCTTGGCTGCCTGCCAAGCTGCGCTGTGTTCACCTTTGCCAAGCCCCTTTTATGAGGCGCACACCAATATGAAGCACTGAGCGTTAAGAGCCAGAATTCCCTTGTAGGCTCTTAACCACTTAGCTCTCTTGCTTGGTCTCAAATCATGTTTGACACTTCATTTAGGGTCTAAGATGTTCAAATGCAAAAGTCCACGGTGTTGGCAAAGGCAGAAGAAAGGCCTTCTGTGCTTGCTGTACTTTTGCCGGATGGATTTCTTAGTGCATTCTGGCAGCCAGAGCATTTTTAACTATATGAAGATCTTCCTCCTTTCCTAGCACGTCATTATCATGTTGCCTTTTTAATTACAAATGGCTCAGCTTGGCAAACAAGGGAGGTCTTTGTCTTTTGCAGCTGCACGTGCTTACTTGGAAAGCTAGGATTCCTCCTTGTTTTGAATTTTGAGAATTGAAAGGAACTGCGCTTTTTAAGTGGGTATTTCCAAAACTCCACACAATCCCCAATTTGTAACTGCCAGTCCATAGAGTAAACCTTTAGAAATGTGAGGAACAGTAGATTTTTTTCTTCTTTTCCTTACAGCCCTCCCATTTCTTGAAATCTGTTGTCCCACCAGAACCTCTCTCTGAAGCTGCTTGTACGCATGTGGGGACAAATTATTCTCTGGATTCTCACTCTTGATCGCTCTGGCCACTTATTGCAAACCGTTTTTTCCTCATCGAAATCATTTCCATGCAGTAATGAGTTAACATGGTGCTGTCATCTCCTGAAGGCCAGAGGTGCCCTTGAAAGAGGAACCCCTGGCAAAGGCGATGGCCTCCACCTTAAATCAGCTCTCTCTACCACTCCCAGCCCATCCGTTCTTCTAGCTCGTGCACAGCTGAGAAAATAAACTTTCTCATTAGAATTCTACTTTGCCAAGCACCACCAAACAGCACTTTGGAGATGACTTCTACTTGCTAGCAATATGCTGCGGGCAGTTCAGGAGCAGCATGCGTGTGCTCAGGTGGTATCGGGCAAGGTGGATGACTGGGGTCCAGTGGCGACTAACATCAGGCAGAAGGGAAAAAGAGGGTGTAGGAGATGATTAAAGAAAGCTTACCATGCCTTCAGAATTTTCGTATCCCTTGCGTGATTGTTGTTCTGCAGAATGGGAAAATACCTCGGTACTGTTTCCCTCGGTGGAGAAATGCGTTCCGTATATATGCAGTGCAATGTTCAAGTAGAAGAAACCATTTAGTTCAATGGGTCTCGCTCTGCTACATGTGGAGAATGATCAAGCTGTAGCTTTCTCATCTGTGTGCAGAAAGAAACTGATACGAAGGAGAGGTCCATTTTCGATATTCCAATCTTCACAGAGGAATTCCTCAACCACAGTAAAGGTGAGCAGGATACAAGGAGCGTGGCTCTCAGCTCCGCCATTCACACTCTGCTAACTGGCAGAGTTCAGTGAAGGGTATTTTACCGATTGCCTGTGTTTTCTAACGCTTGCTGTGTGCTCCTGCAAGCCAGTCTACTCCAGAGTCGATCCCGTGGCGTTTATAAGGTAGTTCATCCCCAGGTAAGTGGGAATAGGCTTTGAATCTCAGTTGCCTTGATGCTTACATGATGGCTAAAACTGGTCGGCTGCTTTTCAGTCACAAAGGGAAAAAGTGTCTTCTTTATAGTAAGCCCCTTTTTACACTCAAGGGGTGGCCTGTGGTCCGATTCTCTGCTTTGGCCCTTTGTTCCAGTAGTACAAGGTTCCACACCTGACCATCTCTGTGACTCCCAGCCTGGCCCTCTGGGAAGGCGCACACCCTTCCTCTGGCATCATACCTTTCCCCAATTCTTTGGTAGCTTCCCAGCTTTCGTGCAGCTTTTTCTTTGTTCTGCAAAACTGATTTGCTTCTCATAAGGCTTAGTTACTGGCAGCAAAAGCTTTGAAATGCACCGGTATTCTTGGCCCTCCACCTTTTGCCTTTGTTCCTCTGCCCTGCGAGCTACTACAAAATTGGATTCGGCCCTTGGACTGAAAGAGATTCTCTCCCCTTGCAGTATTAGGAACCCTGGATCCTAGACCAGAGCGTCAGAATGCCCATGCTAGATCAGACCGTGGCCTGTCTACTCCAAAATTGTCCTTCCAAAGGCCCCAGTGAAACGTCCACAAGCACGACATGGTCCTCTTGACCACAGTCTTGAGAGCTGCTGCTTTGCTCGAGAGGTTTTTTAGAGAGGGAAGGTGACTTTGGACCCGTTACTCCATCCAAAATCCCATGAGGAAAGTTGCGAACTCCTGGTGTCAGCCAGAATCCGTGACGAGGGTTTCCCATTAGATTGCGCAGCTGTCCCTGGCCTGGGATGTCAGCACCGTCGATGTGGCCCAAGGAACACTTGTCCTGGAATAACAGTATTTGGAAACAGGACAGGCTGCCTGAGCTATACCTTGCTAATTTCACGGGGGTCAAACTCACATTCGGAGAATTTGAAAGTATCAAGCAGGTGAGAGGGACTTTGGGGCAACACTGAAATCAGCCACAAAAGCAAGAGATGGGGAAGTGCAGTTAGGTTATCTGGGCTCTTTGTCAAAAGAAAGTCTCTCTGGTAAGGTGGCATATGCGCTTTTGAACAGTTGCCCTGGTAGATTTACTTCATCAAATATATTCCAGGTCTTGAATTCCCTGCTTCCCTCTGTTGAGCTCGGACTTAATCCCTGTGTAGTGACTGTTCCCTTTTCCCTGCCTGCATTAGAAGGAAGAAGCATGACCCTACCCCAGAATGCTTTTCACAGTGCGCCATGAGAGACCAGTCCGCTTTGAAGTCACGATTATAGTCCTGTTCCGCTGGAAACATGCTGTCCTTTATTGCTGTGGTGCCATCGCAGCATCCCTACTCCCAAATTGCTTAGGATTCTTCGGTCCAGTCCAGCAAATACTGAAATGTCCTGCATAGCCTTCTGCTGGCTGTCGGGGAAGTGCGGGGGAGTGGGGAATCCTGCCTCTTAACGTTGTGGGTTGTCGACAGCGCGGGAAGCGGAACTGCGCCAGCTGCGCAAGTCCAACATGGAGTTCGAGGAGAGAAACGCTGCCCTGCAGAAGCACGTGGAGAGCATGCGCACGGCCGTGGAGAAGCTGGAGGTGGACGTGATTCAGGAGCGCAGCCGCAGCACGGTGCTTCAGCAGCACCTGGAGACCTTGCGGCAGGCGCTCACCAGCAGCTTTGCCGGCGTCCCACTGCCAGGTGACGGAGCGCCTGCTCTTGTTCTTAAGCGTAATGTTTGGTCAGCGCATGGGGTTGTGAGTTTCGGCCCGTGGTTTATTTTATGACTCCACATTGGAGCTTTGGAACGTGCACCATGACGGGGCCTGCTGAGGAAAGCGAGTTTGAATTTTAGGGCAGCTGCTGTCTTTGCACATGGGTTTTCTCTAAGATGGGTATTCTCATCTTTTACTCCTTGAAGTTCTGGTAATCAGAACTGTCCCATGACAATGCAATGCAAGCCTTCCATTTTATCCTAATTGTTGGCCTAGCATCAAACCCGTGGGAGAAAACGACACTCATTTGGAATGGTTTTCCTTGTCAGAGGGCTTTGGGGATCCAGGCCATCACCCCCCTTGCTTTCAGTTTACTTCTCTTCTGGCACGATGCATACATCCGTAGTCCCTCTGGCTACAACATACACGATCTCTTTCAGGAAGTGGAGAGACCCCCACGATGGACACTATTGATTCATATATGAATCGGCTGCACAACATCATCCTGGCAAACCCGCAGGAGAACGAGACCCTGATAGCCACGGTCCGGGAGGTCGTGAACCGCCTCGAACGCTAATGGCTTGGTAAGTTTCTGCCTTACCACGAGCTCTTGCCTGAGGTGAATGGAAATGTTGCTGCTTTTAGATCCAAAGGCTGGATCTTGGTAAAGTCCAAGACCAGTTGGATTTTAGTTGTGTAGCACAAGCAATATTCCCACTGCACATATCTGATATTTTGGCATCATAACCTTTTCGTGGCTGTACTTATGTAAGCAGGGACATTTTAACATTAGAGCTGATGAATCAGTTCTTTCCTTATTGCTGTGTCTCCTGCTGTAAATGTATATTAGCTCCTACATGTCAAAGAGAACTGCATTGGCTCTGTTTTTTAAAAATACGAACACCAGCTTGGCTTCCGCTGTGAATTCACAAAGCTCAGTTTCTGAGCCTGTATTCTGAATTGCTAGTATAAAACCAAATGGTGTTTTAATTCAGTGTATTCAGAGCGGAGGTCCATCTGTGGCAAAGGAAGCCAGAAGTCCTCAACCTTTCTGCTCCTGACCTTTTGTGATAATTGTGAAGTGCATTTAATTGCCTGCTCCTTGTTATAGCTTAGCTTAAGTGGAAAGCCCATTGCCCTTCCAGTGAGCAGCCAGATGGAACAGATGACAGTTCTAAGTCAACTCTGCTTCCCGCAGGATGAAGAAGCAGCACTTCTGCTATTTTATGAAGGGGAACAGCTTGTGGACACAAGTCTGGGCTTTTCCCATAGCTCATCAACCTTCTCATTTTAACAGTACTTTTTCTGTTTGTGTGCCTGTAAGCTGGAAAGAAGAGGCCCGGGGAATTCGAGAGTGGGAGGCCAGCTCCATCAGCAGCAGGCTGGCAACCAGTGAAGGGGTCTCCCTTGAGGCAGATGTGGAAGGACGCCCCAAGCCAGATGTTTCCCATTTAACCTGCCTTGCCAGCAAATCCTGTGTGAAGTTTCATACTTGAAGACAGCTAGCTATAAATGTGGGGTTTTTTGCTGGGAAAGACCCTGGGAGGCATTGTTTGTGGCACCCGAATGGACATTTTTTTAGCTCCTGGAAATACTGCACTCATATTTGAACCACTTGAAGCAACAACAAGAAGCGCCAGCCACCACCCTTCTACTCACCCCTGGTTCTTTCAGTTAAGAAGGCACATTCTTGCTCCCTGAAAAAAAGAAAAGAAAACCCCTAGATGAGGCATTTTATAAACTTGCAGATGGGGAGTATTATCCGAATATGAAAATTCAGATAATGTTGGTGTTCCACGTATGTTTGGTGTAATTTATTACTCTAGCCGTTCACTAAGCAAAATATTCATCCAGCAAGAGGAGGTTGCTTGGGCAAATATGAATATTTAGCGTGAGGCAATTACTGATAAAAAGAGCTGCTCACAGCCATTAACTCACTTGCCATGTCTCAGATCATTTTAAATGGAAACTGTACCTTTCTGACAAGTGGGTTCCCTTTGGAATTTTGATACACTTGATAATAAAGCAAATTTAAGAGAATTCCAGTTTAAAAAATAAATTTAAAACCAATAAGTAAAAGAGCCTAGCCAAAAATAACAGCAACAGCAGGACTGTAAAAGCACTGTCGGAACAAGTTGCAAAATAACAGAGCAAGAATAAATGTGCTTAATTAAATCTCGGTTGGTAGAGCGAAAAAGATAAAATTGCACTCCTGAAAAGAGGGGGAATGTGCCTACAAAACTCCTAGGGGCAAAGAACAGGCTGTTGCTAGTGGTTGAGGGTGGCCTGGATTCCACAAGTTAGGGCACCTGGAGAAGTTCGCAAGGAGGCTGAGCGGAGGCTCCTACGGGAGAAGGCGTCACCCGTGAGGCTCTGGACCAAGGCTGCTCAGTGTGCTTAAAAGTCAAGGGCTGCGTCTTGAGTAGACATGGAAGCAGGTGGTGAACAACGAAGGTGTTTCAGAACAGGCATTGCGTGTTCGGTGGTTAAATTCTGAGCCAGTTGACAGTTCTGGATTATATTCCAAGGCACAGTCTTTTCTGGTTAATGCTCCAAAGATACAAACTTCTAAGCCTTTCTCTTCTCCCATCCCCACCCCTGGCTTTTTTTTACAGTGTGTTAGACTCCTGGTTGTTTTTCTTAAAAGGACGAAACAAGTGAGGAATGAGAGCCATTGTGGAAATAGACCCGAGGGTAGATGACAAGACTTTGGAGATATACTTGGTTTTTGCTTCTGGGATGAACTATTTAAAACATAAGACTCTTCTGTGAGGACCCAGGACAGAGCACCCCAGGAGATTCTGATATCCTCTATCAGACATTGCAAGGCAATTCCCACAGCTCAGACCTGCAGTTTCCTGTCGTTTGTCACCAGGCTGTGGACACCTGCTGGACTAGACGATGCAGCAGTGATGCTTCCTTCTCTGTCAGGCCCGAGTTGTGTTTCTCTTGTAATAATGCGGAACTCCAAAGTGTTTTGTCGTTTGTGCTCCGAAGGAGAGCCCATCTCCCGCCGTCTGCTTCGTTCATGTACGTCGTGCCCTGTCATCCATGCATATGCTTCCATCTGTTGAAGTTGGCGATAATCCAGAGGGAAGAGGACAGGCCATCCTCTCTCTCCCAGCATTGGAAATGCAAGACCTTCATGCTGGACTAAAATGTTTTTTCCCCCTTTTGTTTGCTACTTAGTTTGTTGTATGCGGTAGTCTTACGATTCGACTCTCTTTTTATCTTGTGCAACAGGAAATGGGCAGGGGGGAGTGACACTGTTGTTTCCCTCCTCCTGGTAATATGTGACCACCCCTAAGAAATAAACTATGGAAAAAGGGTTGTTTATTTATCTGTTAGTTGCTTTACATGTAAAAAAAGGTTTCTCTAAGTGATGCATTAGTCAAATCTCAGAGAAAACCAAACCGTGAGAGCAACATTTACCCATAAAATATAAATTCTACTTTAAGAGGCTAAAATGGTGCCAGTCTGTGTTCTCTTGCTGTGGATTTTAGGAGATCTTTTGCAAAACGAGAGAGCCAGGAGTGAATCTCATGGGGACGCCCTAGCAGCAGAGCATTCTTAGAGCCAGGAGGGAGCCTGTGATATCTGTGTAAATGGCGAAGTGGCTTGCATTGCTCTAGACGGGGGGTACACGGCGGGTGGCCTGCATGCACCCCGCTGACCATGCATGTACCCCCTCATGGGTGCCCTGGGCCCTTCTGCCACTGAGGTATCCCTGCTCTGGGTTTTAACCAGTTTCCCATGGGCAGCCGCAGGATCCGAATCGACCCAAAGCAGTGCGCTGATCGCGTCAGCAGTGCAGCCAGCTGTGAAGGCCCACGTGGCACGGGCCCTGTCCACGTGGCCCCTCCGGTGGCACGGGTTAACTTTTCCACCTCTCAGCGGCATTTTCTGATCTGAGTCCTTTCACTGAGCAGCTGTCTGTCCTGTATAGCAAGATACGCAGTTGGCCGTACAGAGCATCACATCTGATGGGGCTTATGAGGAGTCAGACGCCCGTTCTATCAGACGCAGCATCGTGTCTGCTCCCACAGGCAGGGGCAGGTGTGGTGTGGGAGGAGGCAGAGATGTGTTTTTGTTTCTGTCCCTACCTCCGTTCAAGGTGTCCATTCCAGGCACGTCATTTGTTGCACTGGGTCCTGGTCTCATTCTGAACAAATCCCCTGTGTCAGCTGTCAGTAACTAGCGATCAGTTGCATGCATGTCAGGTCCCAGTGGGGTTCAGTCCCAAAGCAAGTAGGTTTTAGGGTCTTCAGGGGGGTATTGCTTCCTTCCCAGTGTAGCAGACCTGAGGTTATGTGGCCCAGTACAAGCCAGATAGGTTGAGTTCTAAAAAAAAAGCTCTTCCAAGGAGCCAGAGACCAGTAGATCAGGGTAGGGCAGGCAGGAAGAGGCCATGCTGCTTGCAAGTGGTACAGCCTGGAGCCCAAATCTCAGGCTTATGCAGCACCAGCAACATTCAAAGAAAAGGAAATGCAGAAATGCAGAGTCTGAAGCAGCAGTCTGGAGAATTTCCTGGCAGCAACATGCAGAAAGCATCCATTGAGAGGAAGCAGCGCAAGATAGCAGAATCCACACTTGACCCATTTTTCTCAAGATCAGTGAGAAGGCCACTGATCCTACAACCGAGTGATTGGGGGGAACTGGTAGATTAGTTCCCGTTGCCGTGAGAGGGATTCCAGGTCTTCCCTTGGCTCATGACACCTCCCTGCCCCCAGTACTTTGCACACAATTGATGTGCGTGCGCCTCTGAAATCACGTGTGAAATGGGACGGTCTAGGGGGATATGGAGAGAGGGAGAGAGAGCATCGCGCTAAAAGCAAGGTCAGAACAATGATATCCTTCTGTCCTGATGCAACAGCACAATCAATAGGTTTGCTGCAGTAGAAAACAGTAGTCAGGCGCTTGGATCCAGAGAGATTCCGCTCTTTCCATCCCAGGCGATGTTAAAACGTTCGGGACAGCTTACAAAAACTTACAAAACTCAGCTTATCTGAGTTTTTACACTCTGCTTATGTAATCTCCTTCTGGCTACATCTTTGGACATCCTCCCGGCATAATCCCACTCCTGACCTTCACCAGTGATGCATTGGTTGCCCCACAGAGAAATAATAGCCGAATATTTGGGCCTTGACTTGAGTTTCTCCTCCACCTTCTCCCAGTCCTTAAAATACCACCCACGAATCAGAAGGCCTTCTCTTTCACTGTTAATGATCAACACTTAATTGTCATTCCTGAACCACTCCCACCTAGCTAAAATCCCCAGCCAGTCAGATCAAATTTACATGCTCTAAGCCCTCCCCTGCTTCAGACCTCACCAAACAATTATCCCACAGGCCTTGGACAACAACGAGGCCCAAGGGCATTCCGTCACAATCCCCAGAGGTAGCACAAGATAAGATGGCCCCCTGGTTAAAATGGGAGGACAGCATGTGGCTGGCCTGCCGGAAGATTTGTCCTGTGACCTTGATCACCCTTCACAGCTGGCTGTGTTGGCTAAACCTGATGGGAATCGCAGGCTCAAACACCTGGCAGCCTCTGGTGGCCCATCCCTGGATTAATGGCGGCACCATTATTCAGAAGCACTGGAGCCTGTTGGCCCAAGGAAACAGCTGTGCACCTCGCTGAGCGAGGATCACTGCGTGGCATCCACTCCACCCTACAGGGCAGGCGCCTGATTTCCTGTCCAACCTGGCTTATTCCCCTTGCTTACATCAAGCAGCAGATGGTGAACAATGTCACTGTCATTGCGAGGAAAAGCAAAACCCCCGGGATAAATTTATCTCAGTACGTTCATTTTCTTCCGCTCCCCTTTGCCCCGCAGCTGCTGCTAGGTTGGTCTTCTCTTAGGTAATCATTTTGGAGTTGACGCTTTAGAAGGTCACACAGCACTACCTTCTTCCACGGGCAGTTTCCTGTCAGTAATTCATGTGGGTTTCCCTGCGGTGGTGGCAGGCATTCCTTCACACTTAATCCCAAGCTGAGCTGTATCCTCTGTTGTCTGGAATGAATCCAGTCTCCGCAGGAATATAAAGGCTATTTTTCAGCTCTCCTGCTCTTCTTCGTGAAAGGTGGGCATTCGTCTTTCCTTCCCACCTTGTGGACATTTTGTTTCCCTTAACAACCCCTTTGGATTTTCAAGCTTCTCTACTTTGAATACTTCTGTTTTTGCAAAAGGAGTAACCCTGGAAGGGTAGGAACAGAGGTGGCTGGATGATTTATGTAGGCAAAGATTTATTTGTTGTTTGCTGGTTTGTGTCAGCACTGCAGAGAAAGGTGGGATAGAAATCTTACTGGGACAGATCCAGGCCGAGCCATGTTTACGGTTGCCTCATTGACCGGAAGGGGGTTTAACTCAGTCATGGCTAACTTAAGTCCCATTGACTTCCATGGACTCTACGCATGGCTAGATTAGTGACATAATCAATGACCCAGATAGTGCGCCGACAGCAAGAATCCTGTCCGAACCCTGCAAGGTTTTCAGCTCATGCTCGTTTTACCCCTCTTTTTTTAAACCATCACTCTCTCAGCGCTCATAGTTACAGAATGCCACATGTCTAAAATGTTTGGAAACAAGCAAAGCTCCAAAGACACCCACATTTCTCTTGAAAAATGTCACACCTCCTTAGCAAGACTTTGAAAAGCTGTCTCGCAGCTCGGAACAAAGCCAGAGATAAGCTGGCTGGCAGTCAACAAGGCTTAGCCGTGCTGAATTCAGCCAAGGACCGGGATGTTCGCTGCTTGGGAAAGGAGCCATCAAGGACTCTGCAGCAAGGGGGGCAGTGTTGCTGGGAAGCAAAATTCCGCAGCGGTTGCAGGAACGCACAGACCAACATGCCCTGGTACCTTCTGGGTGTTTGGGACATCAGCTTCCATTAGCCCCAGCCAGCCTGGTCGATGATCAGGAAGGCTGGGAGATGGTGTCTGTGTGATCTGGGAGACTCCTGCTGGGGAGAGGCTGCTTTAGAGTATCTGAAGGTCAATGGGAAGAAAACTCCAGCTCGTAAATGCAGCATTGGCGCTCAAGTAGAAAAGGTTGGGCAATGCGTAACAAGAACGACCAAAATGCTACCTTTCTGCATAGCAAGGATTTTACGTTCGTGTTAGAGCTGAGCTTTAGGAAAACCCGAACCCGTGTGTGCACGAAGGCCTGGAACTAGTCTGGGTTAGCCAGACAGAGCGATGAACAAGAGCGTCTTCTGTCTGGATAGAGTGGGGTTTCAGAAGTGTGCTAGAGTTTGGATTTAGGTTAGGATTTGGAATTCATGGTTCTTCCTGCCAGTCCAGTCAAGATACACACCCTTAATTTATAAGCTTCTTGATCTTTACCGAGATTTCGAAAATGAACCTATGAATTGGGATGAGCTGAATAAGTACAGAAATATGTTTGTTTTAGCTAACTGCCTTGGATGGTACAATTACCTTCAAGTAAATTACTTTCTGGGTGGTGGTTGTGTTTTAAATATTAACTGAACCAAAATGAAAGTGGAAACTTGGGGAGGGAATTTTAATTATTTCTATAATTGTAGGGAGGGACAAGTGTTCTGTTTAGCCTATTCTTCTGAAAGGGCACTGAAACCATACATTGCCAAAA